CTAAGGGATTAAGTGTATTGGTTAAAGGGTGATAGTTTTTTTTCTTTGTTTTATTACCCTTATAGTCTTGTTCTCTCCTCCATCTGTTTTCTCTCCCCACTTTCCCTCTATATCGTTCTGTCTCTCGCTCTCACCCATTTCTTTGTTCCTGTCTGTCTCTCACTGTCTCTCTCTCTCTTTTTTTTTGTCTGTCTGACTCTTTTGCTCTCTCTCTCTCCTTCTCCCTGTCTGTCTGTTTCCCTTTATCTGTTTGTGTGTCTCCCACTTTCTTCCCTCTACCTCTTTTGTCTCTCGCTCTCTATCTCTCTTTTTTCTCTATTTCTCTCTCTCTCTCCCTCCGTCCTTTCTCTCATTCCCTCCTTTCCTCACTCTTTTCCTCCTCGCTTCCCTTTTTCCACCTCATCCACACCCTCCCTTCCTGTTTTCCTTTCACACACACACACACACACACACACACACACACACACACACACACACACACACACACACACACACACACACACACACATACACACACACACACAACACGCACAAACACACACACATACACACACACACACACACACACAACACGCACACACACACACACACACACACACACACACACACACACACACACACACACACAAATGAACACCGTGATTAAATCCGCCCTGATATAGAGGCTAATCAAACCAAAGCACCTGTAGTCAAATAATGTTTATTGGATTGCAATTATCTCTCTCGTAAGAAAATATAAACATTCATCCAACCGTGAGGTAATTAAGGAATAAGAGTGTAAAAAAAAAGTAAAAAAAGGTAAAAAAAATAATAATAAATAAATAAAAAGAAAAAAGAAAAAAAAAATCTGATTAAATAAGAAAAAAAAAGTTAAACAACATGACAAACAAAATAACAAAGACAAAATAAATAAAATGGGAAATACAGATAATTAACAAAGAAAGAAAAAAAGAAAGGGGATTTATCAACTACACTGATCATTCGAGAGGCTGGTCACAAGAAATACGAAGAAGACAAAGAAAAAAGGGGAAAAAGAGAAAGAAAGGAGATGACAATTACAACAATAATGATAACACTGATGCTAATAATAGTAATAATGATAATAGTGATAACAATAATCCTTATCATAAGAAGATTAGTAGCAGTAGTAGTGACAATAATGACAAAAATGTTAATCATAAGAACTGTAGTAGCAGTAATAATAATAATAATAATAATAATAACAATAATAATAATAACAATGATAATAATAATAATAATAATAATAATTATAATAATGATAATGATAATAATGATAATAATAATAATGATAATAATAATGATAATAATAATGATAATGATGATATTAATTATAATAATAACAATAGTAATAGTGATAAAAATGTTATTGATGACAATAATAACAATAATGATAATGATAATGATCAAAATAATGACACTGATAATAATGAAAGAAATATTCAAAACGGTAGTAACAATAACAATTGTAATAATAATAATAATAATATTAACAATAATAATGATTATAATTCTAATAATAATAATAATGATAATAAAAAAAAATAAAATAATAAAAGAAAATAAGAAAAAATATAACGATATTAAGATCAGTATAAATAAATGTATATCAGTAAGGTCAGAAATATTCATAATGATAAATGATAATGACAATTATCATAATGATAATAAGGATAATAATGATTGAAAATATATAAGGTATATAATGATGGTACATATAAAAGCAATAGCTAATATTATCAACAGTAAGAGTAATCGATGATTGTATAACAGTGATAATGATAATGATTATGATGAGAGCAATATGTGTAAATATACTACCTCTACTAAAAGCAAAGGAAAATAAGTACATATCAAACCCAACTATTATCTAATCATTATCAAGAGGCAATACTCATTAGACAACCCCAATTGCAAATGATACAGAGGAACGCGTCTGTCTATCTACCTAATATATCCTTGTTTTGAAATAACAAAACATCTCCTTGGGAGGAAAAAAAAAGTTTCAGTTTCAATGAAGAGTACCGTACCTTTAAGCATCTCCGCATAAACGTTTATATTCTGTATTTTTCTTACAAAAAGTAATGTGCAAAAGACCAATTATACAGTTATCGTTAGCTATACACACTATTCCGTCATGGTTAGTAAAATGGTTTGTACAGGAATTCTAAAATACTGTACCTGTGTGTTTTGATAAACATAGATTATCTACATATGAATCTGAAATTATACATACAGGAACTACGTAGTACACTTGGTATAGGAAGTTGCAAGCACTTCAGCATGTATTTACAGTACTCATAATATACATATATCTATCTCTCTCACTCTTACTCCACACATACACACACACACACACACATATATGTTTATATATATATATATATATATATATATATATATATATATATATATATATATATATATATATATATATATATATATATATATATATATATATATATATATATATGCACACATGTACACACGGTATTTGAATATAATATATATATATATATATATATATATATATATATATATATATATATATATATATATATATGTATATATATGTAATATGATAAATATATATGATCCACATTCAAGCACCATTTCCATTCATCTACTAACGAAGCAAACATGTGCGGCTTCCCTTCTCCCAAAATGCATTCAACTTCCTGTGACCAATGTACGTAAATAAGAAACACCGAAATCGAATAGCATCCTCGGAGCTAAAAATATATAGCCTGAACGAATCACAACGGATTCTCGATAAGTCGGTATATCTAGTTCAGAATGTATATTCATGCGTGTATGTATGTATGTGCATATATATATATATATATATATATATATATATATATATATATATATATACATACATATATATACATACATACATATATATATATATATATATATATATGTATATATATATATGTATATGTATGTATATATGTATGTATGTATTTCTATGTATAAACATATCAATATACATATATATATATATATATATATATATATATATATATATATATATATACACATATATGTATATATATATTCATATGTATATACATAACATATATGTATATATACATAAATATGTATATATGTATTATATATATATATATATAT